CAATGAAATCATTTTCTCAAATTGCTCACCAACATATTTGTCCTTATTAACTTTGTCATAAAAACAACTCTTGGATATAGTTTTAAACTAGAGAAATTAATTTGAAGAATAAAAAGGAAAAGTAGTTGGGTATATAGGGATTATTATTATTTTCAAATACTTATTGATGAAATGCGTCTACGCTCTACCTCATTAGTTTCATAAATTAATAGTTGATGAGAGCAACTAGCTACTTGCAATGATGATCATATGTGATTCAAAACACAAATGCAAAAATCTATCCCATGGCTTGCATCATTTTTGCATGTTCAGTATATTGCTAGTAATTGACATTTGTTACTCCTCAATGTTGTCATGCATCTAAATCCAGCCCATCCCTTTTGATACAAGAGACAAAAAAAAAAAAAAACTAAAACTCAATGATCTATATACACATACACTATATTATTATCGGTTTTTCTATAGAGTGTCATGGGCACTCTATAAGAGAGGAGAGAGATTGAGAGAAATGAATGAAGAGGAGGGCCCCCTAATTTGCATTGGGATCCTCTCCTTATTTATTTCTCTTTATCTCTCTCCTCCCTTATAGAATGCCCACAGGCACTCTATAGAAAACCCGTGTATTATTATATATACGGGAGAAAAAACCCAAACGCTAAGCTTTAAAACATTCTTTTGTTAATGTTTTGACTTTACCTAGGGACTTAAAACACTTGGCAAATCATGGGAGGATCATGCATGGGATCATCCTAGGGATTTGACAAATCAGGCTTAGTCAACTCTTACTAATAGTAATACACATGGGGAGGGCACAATCCAAGAGGAAGGAGGCTCATGATCCAAGAAATCTCATGACCACCTCCTTCTCCTCCTCCCAATGACAAGGCACACAGTTTAATTAACTAATTAAATAATATTATTAGTAGATATAATAATATTTTATAAGGAATGGGGTTGCGCGCGCATGGTCACAACATCAAAATTAAGCGTAAGCATTCTTGCTATGGACTTAATTAATTAAGTCTATTAATTAAAATTGTTTCAAGATCCCCAGAAGTATTATTTAAGGTTACAATTTCTCATGTTGGAGCGTGGGGACGTGCTAAAATCCATAGATTGACAAAACCAAGGCCTGCAAACTTTACATTAACTATTAGTAGTCTTCATATGTACTCTGGATTTATTTTCACACAGGCCAATTAGGATCAATTATGAAAAACAAATTAAATTCCAAAATAATTAAGAGGATCTAATAATTTTTGAGAGATTTAAGCATCAACAGGCACATGAAATGAACTGAATCAGCTGGCAACAGTTCTAATCAGCGGTGCATGTACTAGAACTGGGCGGTGCATGTGATTCACAGACGTGCATGCATCACATTAAGTTTGTCTTGGTCTACTGTGTGAGTTTGTGTACTCGTAACATGCAATGCAGTGCTAAATAGCGAGGCCCCGCTTGTCAAAGGCTTGAAGACGAAAGATAAGAAGCAATGCCGTTTCAATGTTTTAGTGCAGTGGAAGAGATCTTTAACATCGTTTCAATGTTTTAGTGTAGTGAAAGATAAGAAGCAATGTCGTTTCGATGTTTTTGTGTGCATTTGAGCATCCGTATATAATATAATTTTATGCAACTCTTGAGGTCCAAGTGGAAAGAATTAGATTAGTCGTGAAATAGTTAGTGCATAATTAATTAAGAGAATTTGATTAGTCAATCAGAGAAGATACATGAACGCTTTAATTATTGGTTCATTTCTCACTATTATTCATATCAAATGCATTATTTGTAGGTTCAGAAGGGCAGATGTCATAAATTAATTTATTTGTAGAATCTAATTATTATATTAAAAAAAATTATGGGAAAAAAAAATATATTAAGACACATCCAAGCTAAACTGAATACCTAAAAGTACAACAAAAGAATGCGAACAAACGCTACTCCTTATCAAACTACAGAATATTGTGTAAAAATAGTAGTGGGTCTTCGAGCCATACTATAAAATCATTAATTTTCTTAGCTCTTTGGACAAACACACGAGTCGTTACATTCCTCGTTTAACAAACTATCTGAAAATCCCATTCCTTGAGTCATGTGAAACATCGCTGAATATCATCCACAAAATGTCTGAAAATCAATTGTTGCTCCGCACCATTTTGGATATCTCTAATTACCACCTCCACATCTTCTTTGGAAATTACCTTTCCACAACCAGTGTCAAGAGCAAATGTAACAGCTTCACATATCGCTTGGAATTACGCATGCTCAGAATTATCTCGTATCCAAATATTATGATAAGTATATTGCAATAGGTAGTCATATATTATGATAGTTTTAAGAAGTAGATTCTCTTCAGCGCTCCCGGGTGTTACTCCTTTCAAAAGCTTGAGCTCTGGCTTCTTCGGAAAACTCTTGGATACGTACATACAAAATCTTCTCTAGGCCCATAGATGCTAATGGGCCTTCTTGGGCTTCCATGTAAACCCTTTATTACTGAGGCCAGGCTTTCGGACGAAGCCCAACCAAAAATTAATATGGCTGTATAGCACTTAAGTACCTTCTAGTTTTACTCATTTTACACTACCAATCTCCTATACTCTCAATTATTTTTTTTTTGCTGTATTTTTATATCCTACGTCAGTTTAAAATTGGCGCTGTTATGTAAACAAAAAAATTTCACCCGAAACTTATCTTTTGTGACAGAAATCTAAGAATCTTCACATCACAGAGTAATCTATCTGTTAGCATAATAAGAGACGGAAGAGTATGCAATAATGCAAATGATAAGGGAATAAATTGTGAGATATAAGTAGGCTGAAGTACAATATTCCCTTGGATTAGTTGTCCACACAAGTACGTGTTCATGATTCCATCACATGTGGCCGAAACTATAGTGAATTACAAATCCTAGCTGTCTTGTTCTCTTCTTTCCTTCCTTATCCTCTCTCATGATAATTTCAAGTTGGAACCAAAATTCCCATTAAAAAAAAGGAAAAAAAAAAAGAATATCATTAACAACATGCACCACTCATCTTTGATTAATCAATAACAAATAACCACCTTGTTCCCTTCTTTGTGCCAAAACAATGTTAAGATAGAAAGTTTCCTACATTCACTTTCATACCCGAAAACTTTACCCTTTCTTCACTTTGATATCGCTAGAGTATTCTTTTAGCACTGGTGCTCTAAAACTTCAATCCCATATTTACTTTGATACCCCTGAATTATATTCCCTTACATTTTAGTTCCCCTGTTTGAATTGTGCTAGCTTTTTCTGATAAATTTGTAGTGACTTTAGCATGTAATACATTCAAATCCATTACCCAATTGCTAAGGCTTCGTTTGGATACTACAGTGTTTTCCTTGTTGTGTTTTTGTAAAAAAAACACCATGATGTTGTGTTTTTCCCTTAAAATATTTTCAAAATACCATGTTAAGTATTTTTGGTCAACACTAGTTTGATCCATTATAACATTAGTATTAAACATATTGTTAATATATTATATATTAATTATAATAAAATATGTTGTAAATAAAATGTTATAATATTTAGTTTACATTATTATGGTATTATAAGAATTAAATGTAATACAATATAATATGGTATAATGTATTATAATATAATATTATACTTTAATGAGTTATGTCATATTATATTTATTATTATATTATATTTATTATATATTATTTTTAAATAATTATATATTTAATTATTTTGGTATATCAATTTGTTATTGTTGTATATTATATTAATATTTTTATAATAATGTTTATTTTATTATTAATATAATATTATACTATTATCAATGTAATATAAAATCATACTATTATTCATATAACATAATATTATTAATAATGATAATATTATGTTATTAATAAATTAATATATTATAAATATTTTAATATTATATAATATATTACAGTTTTTAATATGTTAGTGTTTATTAATAGTACTTTAATAATATATTAGTATTATGATATTAATAAATATTATTATATTATGAATATATTATTTTTACATTAACATTTGTTAGCAATAATTATTTTATTATTAAAAATAATTTTACTTTATAATAAATTATATTATTATTTAGTACATAATATATTAATATTTTATATATTATATTACATTTACTATACAATATGTTATTTTAATAATATTATTATATTGTTATGTTATTATTAAATATGTTACTATTATATAATATTTTATAATTATTAATTTATTACAATTTATTTATTAAAAAGGTAATCATATTATAGCGATTATACTATTGTATAGTATATTATTATATCATTATCATATTATTATTTATTATCATTAACTTTATTATTATTATTTAGTTTATTTATATATTGTTATTATTTATTTATTATATAATACATTATTAACATATTAAATATTGATTTTAATATATTATTATATAAGATATTTTTTATTATATTTTTATATTATTTAATAAATATTACTAATACATTAAATTAACTGTAATGTAGTATAGTATATAGTATAATATATTAAGCACATTGATAATAACTCTATATTAATTATATTTAACATATTATGTTAGATATTATATTAATATCTTCTCAAACTCAAAATCAAAGCACCAAACTTAAAACACCTAAAAGATGTTTTTTTAATAAGTGTTGTGTTTTTGATTTGAGGATGATTTAACTAAAAAAACACAATGATTTCCAAATGCATAATATTTTATTTTTGGCAAAAATACCATGGAAACAAGTAAAACATCATAATATCCAAACGAAGCCTAAACAATTGATATAAATTTAACATGAAATCTAATAGAATATAGATCGAAACTTCATGTATCAAAGTCAAAGTCTCAAAAAATACTTTGAAGGTATGAAAGTAAAATAATTTTTTTTGGAAAGGTATGATTGTAAAATTGATTGAACCATTTGAGCATTAAAGCGTTTAAAAAAAACTTGAGGGCATCTTCGTCATTCATCAATAGAAACGATCACCGTGTACAGATTCCACTGGATCGACCGAGAACCCAAATAACAATCATTTCATCCTCTCTTTCTTCTTCCCCCTCTCGTTTCGAGATTCTAGGGTTTTCAAAACAAAAGAAATCCCCAAATCCGATCGATCAGCTGCTCCACGATCAGCGACGATGAGGCCGATGGGGACCTTGCAAGATGTGATCGAGGAGGCCAAGACTCGTACGCTGCTGTGGGCCATCTGCATCTTAGCGATCTCCTACTTCTTATCTCGTGAGTCCCTCCCCCGTCCGATTCTCTAATTAATTGAATTTTCTGTTCGTGATTAGGTTATTGTTTGTAATGTTGTGATGATTTGATGATTTTTTTCTCATATTTTACGCGTTTCTTGAATTGTCGCATGCTTCACACATTAAACGAGAAATTAGTCGGAATCTTGATGTTAATGGAGATTAGTATGCGTATATCAGCTCAAAGAGCGGCGTAGTTCTTGGCAATTCTTTTGTATGAAGTTCTTGGCAATTCTTTTGTATGAAATTATTGTTAATTTGTTTTTCCCCCATCATTTGAAAGCAGTGGGAAGGATGTAATACTAGGCAAATTGATTCTACTACATACATACGTTCATGCATGCATGTGTGTGTTTGTACACTACAATAATTGCAAGTGATGGCTAACAGCATGACTTTGATTAGATAAAAATCAAGTAGTTACCCAAATAAAGTCAAGTCGAATTAGTTTTTTGTTAATGACAAGGTTAGGAGTCACACATTCGGTAGAAGATACCGTCTGTTATTGAACTTGCACCCCATTGAAACTCTAAAGGGGGGTGGCAAGTGGTAGTGATCTTCAGTGTGTTTCTAACTGCTTGTTATTGGTGAAATGCGTTATATATGGATAAACTTTAACCTTGAGGATCCAGTTAGAGGAATAGTTTTTACATGCTTCTTAGAAGTGTAGGATTATGATTCCATGCAGAATATGAAACAAGAGGGTGAAACAATGCTAGCTCCAATCATCATGGAAAGGAACAGTCGAGAGTAACTAGGAGGAAGGACGTTCCGCATGAGCCCATGTTTGTTCTGGACAAAAGGAGCTTTGGGTTTTCCTAGTATAAGTCTTGAATGATGTTTTGTATCTTGCATTTAGTAACGATTATTAGTATAACAGCGTCTTTAACAAGAAAATGGATTAATTCCTATTTAAGAGTACCTGTTGCGTTATTGTTCATCAAATTTTAGTTAAATCTTATTTTTTTGGTGTTTCCTACTACTGTAATAGATGAAAAATATTAGCTCGGGTAGGGTTCTGCTGAATCATTATTAGGAGCTTAACTGTTTAAACTATGTAATAGATATTCATGTCTCCTTTGTTTTGGTATTGTATTAGATCAATTGTTACATTCTTCTTCTGTGGATTTGTTTAGGGACATACTAACCATGCTTTTGTTGCTCCCTGTTTATTTCTTTCATAGATACAAGCAAATCAATGTGGATGAATATCCCCATATCAGTTCTCATCCTTTCAGCATTTCGGTATCTGTCTTATGAGGTAGAGCTTCGCCGGAGGGTGCGGCCAAGCAGTAGACAAACCTATTTGTCACACTTAGAGAAGAAGCAGTTATCTGTGAATGATTCCCGTCTAACAACTGTGCCACCTACATCAAAATGGAGGCGGAAAATTGATTCTCCTCCTGTGCAGGCTGCCATTGATGATTTTGTCAATAAGATTTTGCAGGATTTTGTTGTAGATCTGTGGTATTCATCTATAACACCTGACAAGGAGGCGCCGGAACTTATACGGATCATCATACTTGATGTTATTGGTGAAATATCGGGAAGGCTCAAAGAGATCAACCTCGTTGACTTGCTAACAAGGTGCTTTTGTGTTACTTTTGTAAGTGATCAGAAAGCTTTTTAAAAGTTAAATGATGCACCTGATTTCTACATGTCCGAACCAAATTCTTTTCTTTTTTTCAGGGATGTGGTTGATTTAATAGGAAACCATCTAGATCTTTACAGAAAAAATCAATCTGAAATAGGCGTGGATGTTATGGGGACCTTATCTTTTGAAGAAAGAGATGAAAGGCTGAAGCGCCATTTAGTTGTTTCAAAGGAACTTCATCCTGCTCTTGTTTCTCCAGAGTGTGAGCACAAGGTGCAACCAGTGTTTTTAACATGCTGATTTTGTGGAAGAGTTAATAGACAGCCGTTTATCTTATAATTGGTTTATTGCTTTTTTATTCAGTTTCTTCAGCGTATTGTTGGAGGCATTCTAGCTGTAGTCATGCGCCCACAAGAAGCAAAATGCCCGTTGGCTCGTTGTATAAGCCGAGAGCTTTTGACCTGTTTGGTTTTGCAACCTGTCATGGATTTGGCCAGCCCTGCGTAAGCTATTCAATGACCTCTGTAGCATGTCTTCAATTTTGTATTCTATGGCTTAATTTTTTGTAAACAATTTCTAGAACATCTTGTCAATGCATGCTTCCTTCATAAAATAGAATCATGGTCTAATAGTTCAATAGTGAAAACACCATTATCAGCAATGTTGTTATTTACATACCTGGGAGTTCTTTTGTGCAGTTTAGTGAGGAATGTTTTAAAATGCAGTTAGTTATGAAAAGATCATTTATAAGTGTTCCCTGTCACAAAATAACAGCATTTTTTCTCACCATAATTCACAGAAATCGGAACTACCTGACGAATTAAATGATCTAGTTTTAGTTCAGCCCCTGAAGTGGCTGCCTGGTCGCCTTGCTGCTTGTTTTCCGTCTTGAAATACTTAGGGTGCATTTTGATATGCTTGATTCTAAGGAATCTATCAAGGTTACAGAAAGCGCTAAGCTAGGTGGCCTAGGCGTTGGATCCGACGCCTAGAACTTAGGCGTTTTCCTATTTTTTTAGTCTTAATTACAATTACTGATAGTAAATTCCGATGTTATAGAAAGCTTACATGCTGGACTGACACCTAGGTAGATTTCTTAAGTGGTGGAGGATATTTTGTTGAAGGTCGGGAGAGGTAGAGGAGGTGTTCATAGTTGAAGTTTGGAGGAGGTTGGAGGACGCAGATGCTGCAATAGAGGAAATCATGATCAATGCCTAAAGGGTGCAGTCGATGTAGGCAGACCACGCTCCCTTATGCGCTCCCAAAATCATAGGTGGGCAGCCTAGGTAATGCCTAGGCACTAGGCTCTAGGTAGGCAGTCAAGGTACCGTTTAGTCCTAGGCGGGCTAGGCGGAGCTAGGCGGAGGCTTTTTAAAACATTAATCTATCATTCAATGCACATTCCATTTTTCCAATGGAATTGGGATGTCCAAACAATTTGTTTGTTCGGCTGTCAACTTTTGACTAAACTTCTAAGGACAGCAATGTAGACGGTCCTCCAGATGTAGATTTTTAAGGATGAGGAATTAATTTGCCCAATTAATTTGATTTAGTTTGCAAGTAGTTTTATTGAATTTTTTAGCATTTAGAATTAGTTTTGATGCAATTTATGTATAAAGAGTACCTTCCTGAAAATAGGTTGATACTTGCCTACAGATATGTTCTTGGTTGTTTTATTGTGGTTTGCATTTTTGAAAATTTGTTTGCTTTCCCCCCTTTCTTTTGCTTGGTTTATGACATAATGGATGGCATACACAACTAAATGTGGCCATAAAATCTATAATCTAGACGTCAGTTGAAATTTGGTTATAGACCTTGCTGAGTTGTTTTGAGGGACCGTTCTTACAGCTTGCTCTGCAATTGACATATTGACAGGATGAATCCAGTTCTTATAAATTGAACTGTTGCAATAATCTTAGTTACTTGATATAGTTTGTCATGAAGTGTTGGCCTGAGTGGCTTCTAATACAAGGAAGAAAACCTCTTTGTTTCAGGTATATCAATGAGTTAATTGAGTGCATCTTCCTTGCCAGTAAAGATGACAGCGACAGGGAGGTTGAGATTAATAATTCCCCTAATGCAGCCGGCTTTGTCCAGGATCCCTTGCAGAGTGGGGGATCAGGATCAAAAAGGGCTATCACATCCAATCAATCAACTGAGTTAACAGTCACTAAAAGTGTCGGGAGAACATCAGAAGCTAGTCATCTAAATATGCTAGAGAAAGATTCTACGTGCGATGTGCAGTCACGGCCAGCAGATTGGGCAATGATTTTAGAAGCTGCAACTAAAAGAAGATCTCAGGTTCTTGCTCCTGAGAATCTTGAGGACATGTGGACTAAAGGAAGAAACTACAAAAAGAAGAGTCTTAAAGCAGGAACATCATTAGGAACCAAGAAATCTGCTGGAATTATAAGCAGCATGGACCATGCTGGATGCTCGGGGAAAGAACTGGTGATTAATAAGAATAACAGTACAGGTACAAGTTTCTTGCATGGATTCAGTCACACATGCACACTCACTGTCATGTAAAAAATCATATCATGACACATTTATCACAATTTTTTAAAATTTAGTTAGTGAACGAGCTTCTGAAGGAGGCCACTTTGCGGATGGATGTGAAGAAAATGCAAGCAAATTCACCAAAGCCAGTAGCAGCCAGCTTAAACGTTCTACTAGTACTCCTGATATTAATATATCACTCATGGGAAAAGCTGGTGAGAATGTGGGTTTCAAAGAGTCAACTGGTGAGTTGGCATCTCGTAGTGAAGGATTTCTGCATGCTTCAAAGCTTCGGTGCCGGGTAAGAATTCATTTTCCATAAATTGTCTCTACATATTACTCCTGAAAAAGATGTCTGTTGCACTTTATATGTGTATGTTTGTTTATCTTTTGTTTCGTTTGGTTTATACAATGGTATGCCTCGTATTCTCTATTGCTAGCAACATTCCTATCCTCACAAAGTCAAAACTAGTACTCGTTCATAGTTTCTCATCTTGTTTGCTTGTTAATTTTAGAAGAGTAACTTTTGTTTATATTTTTGTATGCATAATGCATGAATGATTTGCAAATCTGATTCTAGAGGTTATATAGTGTGAAGTTTCTTATTCAATTCCTTATTAGGGTGATCAGTAATTGATACCTCATTATTGTATTATAGTTGAGAGCTTGGCAGGTATAATTGCATTCTATTTATGATTTCTAGATGTTTGTATTTTTCAAACATACTTGTCAAGTGTGACGTAGTTTCTAATATGTGTGAGTAGCAGAACTATTATGTACCATTTTGAAATCTCATCACTCTTAAGATGTCATACTTTATTTATGGATCATAAGTTCATAACAAAGGGTAAGAGTTTTCTGGAGAATCCAGCCGTCTTTAGTATTTTAAGATTTTAACTGAAGCCATTTTATTAGGAAGTGTGGCTTCTTGTTGTACATTTTTCTTCATATCAAACTTTGGTCCTATCAATCCCTCTTAACACCAATGTTTCACCGTTGCCATAGACATTAGGCATGCTCTTTGTATTCTTCTGAGTTGTGAGCTTTGATAATCCTCCTTACATAACTTAATTTTTGGAGTTAGTTCAGTGAGTACACATTGTTGTATGCTATAGCTTGACATGTACTTTGATGAAGAACATGCTGAGGTAACCATCAGTTCTTGTTCATGAATAATTTTGTGGTAAATTGTATAATTGATCAGTATAACATGTAAGATTGGTGCTTTATTTTATACTAAGCTGCTGACTTGGGGCCTATGATATGTAGAAAAATGCCCTCCCCCAAAAATTTCCATGTCCTGCAATCGCGAACATGAGACATGCATCCATCTATATAGATTATACACATTAAGAATATGTATAAGATTGACTTAAAGCTACTTGTTTTGTAAATCACTTGACATTCTTGTATACATGTAACAACTCAGTACATATATTTATACAAGTGAAATGTACACATGTTTAGAAGAAATGAGCATATATATTCCAAGGCCTCATGTGATGGGAGCCTTGGTGCAAGAGTGAGAGTTGATGCAGTATAACCTGGAGGTCACTGGTTCGAGCCGCGGAAACAACCCTTTCCCGTACTAGTGCATAGTGGGAGGTTTGTTTACTGGGCTTCCGGTTACCCCAGTCCATGTCCGTATGTCTGGATTTTGGATGGGTGCTGCTTGATGCACCTCCATTTATTCTAGTATGACAAGCATGCCCTTCACACAGATTGCTACTTTTTACTCCCTTTTTCCTGCATGATTTTCCAGATATCTGATGTTTAATGTGTTTCCTTGCTAATTTATTTCCAGAGTTAGTTGTATTACTTTCATTCATTGATATAATTCTATTCATTAGCAATGTAAAGGATGCAACTTATACTGAAGAAGTCCATTGATCATGGTTTTCCTCCTTTCTCTCTTTTCAGCACATGTTCATATGTTGTTAACACACTGTATAATGATAAACTTTAAAAAATAGATATACTTTCTGGTTTGTAGTTACATGTAATTGATATATGCTGGAAATAGTTCAGCACAGGAAACTAATTTTGTCAACTCTTCGCTTTTTGTTTGCTTCTATTTTCTGTATCAATCTTTAATTTTCTCGATTCTTATATTGGTGCAAAAATTTTTCTGCAGGTTGTTGGAGCATACTTCGAAAAAATTGGATCAAAATCTTTTGCAGTTTACTCTATTGCTGTGACTGATGCAGAGAGCAAGACCTGGTTTGTGAAGAGAAGGCATGTACAGCACCTTTCAGTTTCTTTTAGCAATTTTTAATATTCTTATTCTGTTGAGTAAAATTGGATTCTCCAGTTTCTTTAGCTTAATTCTGATAATGTCATGTTTGCTTGTAGATACCGGAATTTTGAGCGATTGCATCGACATCTTAAGGACATACCAAACTACTCATTACATTTGCCTCCGAAGAGGTTTCTCTCATCCAGTATTGATGACTATTTTGTACACCAGAGATGCATACTTCTCGACAAATATTTGCAGGTATGATTCATTCTTCCATGGACTTGCTATAATTATAAACTAGAGACTCAGTTACACCAGATGTTCATTTTAGCTTAAAATTTCCAGGATCTTCTATCAATTGCAAATGTTGCAGAACAACATGAAGTGTGGGATTTTTTAAGTGTTTCTTCAAAGGTATCGATCTTATTTTGCTCTTAATGTCATTATTCTTTTTCAAATATGGGATGCTTTCTCATCTCAGAATTTCATTTTTCTGAGAATTGATATTTTCCCTTTTGTGGATGAAGAATTACTCTTTCGGAAAATCCACATCTGTGATGAAAACGTTGGCTGGTATGTGGCTGCTTAACAATTCACTCTTATAGCTTAATAATTTCTTCAACTCTTGTTATATGAATTTTCACTTATGCCTGGTGTTTTACTGTAACTTCCGATAATTTTTTTTTCAGTAATCATGCTGCTTTTATCTTAGTCTTAGTCTATCATTATATTCATCATTCATATTTTCTTTTCCCTTAGTAGCGATATTATTTCCAATTTAACTTTGTTTAGTGTTGTTAATAAACCAGTCTACTGGTGGTGTTTGACATGAACTAGTTATCAATTTGCAAATGAGAAAATGGTCTGAGTTGCATCACCCTTCAACATGATACTGAATAGAAACTGTTTACATGTTGAACTTCATATGTTCTTCTGTAATGTCTTTAGTTTACAAATTCTGGAACCAGTTCTTTAGACAATTAACTGGTTCAAATTGTTTTCATACTTATATATAGTATTTCGTCACAAACATCTATTACTCAATGGTGTTCAATATATGATTGATTATTTCACTAGTTTGTTCTAATCTAACTATTTGTTATCACTTCAACAGTCAATGTGGATGATGCCATGGATGATATAGTTCGCCAATTTAAAGGTGTTTCAGATGGTTTGCGGCGTGTTGTTGGCTCATCACCAACTCGTGAACCTTCCCAAATGGCAGACGGGGGAATGACTTTACCTTGGCATGATGAAGAAACAAATAAGAACTTTTCAAGCTATAGTAATATGGAAACTTCTCATAGTATGTCAGACGATGATGCTCAAGATGAAGATCATTCTTCTGCAGGAATTAGTGGATGGCACTCAGATAATGAATTGAACTCTAAAAGTTTTCCACCTCGGGTTGTCAAGCAAATGGAGGAATCTAGAAGTCTAGATTCTCATAGGAGCCAACAACCAGACCAACTCGACAAGTTCTTAGCCTCAAAGAGCTCTGTAACACGGGGCCTTCTTGAAGATCCAGCGGGAATGCCTCCTGAGGTACTCAAATCATATTCTTTGATAAATGCACGTAACTTTGCCATGTCCACATGTTGCTGACATAGTTTTAATGGTTCATATTCACTACTCATTGTCAGCATCATTAGTTTATCAACTTTTTGTGACTGAGAGATTGTAAGTGCACGTGCTGGCAGAAGTTAGTTTTATGTTACATTGTGATGTTAGAAAGGTTCATGAGATACTCTTAAGACGGTTGCAAATCTCTAGCTCATATTATCGTTGACCTCATTTCTTCGCAAACTTCTTAAAATTTAGCAGCTTGTTTCTTAATTGGCGGCCAATAAATACGTAGGAGTAATCACTCTGGTATCCAGGATTCATCATTCGTCAAGATGAGGAGATTGAGGATATTACGATTCATCGAATTAAATTAGGATGCTTAATGGAATATATTTGGAGTCATATGTAACCGTGGATACTTATAAAATTGAAGGGTAAATCCTATTAGACAGTTATTAGATCAACATTGCTTTATGGTATGCGTGCATCAGAAATGAGAATGTTCCCATCACCCTTGTGGAAATTCACTAACGCCTCGTTTGGTACGCATGAATAGAGTGAAATGAGAATGGAATGGAGCAAGAAATGGAACGGCATTAATATGGGAATGAAATGCTTATTTCCATTCTCACGTTTGGATGCAATTTAGAGAATGAAGTGGGAATGGACATATTTAGAAGTCATGTACTTTTTATTGAGTCTTACATAAGTGGGAATGCCTATTCCCTATCATCTCGTTAGGAACGCTTATTCCCACATAATGGCAATGAAGGGGGAGGGAATGAGCATTCTAGCTCTCAAAAAGAGGTTGTGTTTGGTATGAAGGAATGAGAAGTGAGAATTGCGCTTCCATTCCCACTCATCCCTGCATACCAAACGAGGCCTCATGGCTAGAATAAGAGAAAATGGATTGAGAGGGTTTGGCCATGTGCAACAGATATCACAAGATGTGCAATTACGAGATGTGATAATAATATAATTGAGCAAAGATGACTAGAGCTGGACCTCAAATAACATGTTTGGAAGATATTAAGATGAATATGATAGTGGTTAACTTAAGGAGGAAAAAGCTCTAAATAAATGTAAGAATAGCGTTCATGTAACTAATGACCAAAATTTTTGGATAAAGGATTTGTGGTGGTTTTTGTTTACTGTGTTTTATGTTGTCGAGTCACTTACCAACTCCATGGAATGTTTGCAGCAGTCTTAATGCAAGATTCAATAACTATTTTGTAGCTCCAGAACGTTTCAGCTTATGTTCCTACCTATTATCTAGATATACCAAGAGAGATGTATGGTCTAATGAGGTTACTATGAAATATTTACTCATTGTTGGGGCAAGTGTTATGTTTATCTAAGAATTACAGGGAAGTATCTATAAAGTAAAATAGCAACATGTGTATGGAAAAGGTTTTTTTTAAGAACAAAAGGAATTTTAATGTTGATTGCCTTGGTGCCCAAGCATGATAGTGAGGCTTTTATAGTAGCCTAGTAGGCCATGCAAAGACCTGGAAGTAGTTTGCAACTCCCAAGGTTTTAATTGTCGGATGTTTGGTTCATATCGGACGGCTCAAATTTCTGTCGGATAACGAAAATAAGGGATATGTCAGGGGACATGAAAAAATATCGGATTGCCATATCGGACAGTGTGCATATGTGTAATATAAGTATTCTAAATGAAATCTAAACATACTTAAAAATTCTATTGTCTAAACATATAAAAATGTAAATAACTTATGATGCTTAGGTTGATGTTGAAGGAAAGAGGTGAGAAAAGAAAGAGTCTGATGTTGCAGTCAAGGAGAGAAGAGCGCTCAATATTGATGTCGAAGGAACAACTCGGAGAAGAGACCGATGAGATGTCGAAGGAGAGAGAGAAGATGAGCGACAGAAATGACTTCGGTTTTTTATCATATGCCCTAACTGATTAGGTTTTGTCTTTGGAAGCAATATTAAGACAATCAAGAATTTAAATCCAAACCTGATTAGATAAACATAATAAAAAATCAGGTAATTTTTTAGACTGAAAAATCACCCGACATATTCGACATGCCTCCCGATATATCCGACATGAATCCTAAAATGCAATACGCATTGAAAAGCTTGATATCATGTCGGTTGACCCCTAAATCCGACATGTTGGCTGACATGTACGACATGTTGGCCGACATTTAGAACACGGGCAACTCGAGATACAAGATTAATAAGGCTTGTGCATGTTGAAAATCGAAGGGTTTAGATGAGCCAAACATGTTTTTTTCTTGGATCCAACTTGAAGGGATGACTTGAGCTATGTTCCAGAGCTTCAGGCTTCCAATGTATGCAATAGCATCTAGTGGTGGCGGCTAGAGAAGTTTGGGTTTTCTTGCTCATCTGTAAAGATCTCTGTATAAGCTAGTAATATGATATAGTCATGGTGAATCTGCTGTCTAATGTGAAAGGTACTAGGTATGTAAGACAGACTAAATTCGATTGACTTTCCCATTTATTTTGATTACTTCAGTCTATGACGATTTATTCAATTGTTCAATTAAATTATTCACTGATGTTACTCTTTTCTCATATTCACTGATATCGATCTATTTGCTCAAGAGGATCTTTCCTTTTGAAGTAAAAAAGGGATAATCTCATTTAATTCATACTGTCATAGCAGATGGTATATTGAGCATTAATTGTAATTTGGAAAATTAGTATTTGCAGTCCAATTACCAGGACGGGCTTACGCATTACTTCCCCCCCCCCCCCCACCCCCTTTGATTATTCGGAGTCCTTGTCAACCTTTTTTCATTTTTGTAACCATTAAACTTCAATTGTGCTTATATCTATTGCTTTTTTGCAGTGGACACCACCTAATGTTAGCGTACCATTGTTGAACTTGGTTGATAAAATGTTCCAGCTTAATCGGAGAGGTTGGCTAAGGTATTTGTTTTACTTTTTTTCCACCAACATTTAGTTAGATGGTTTCTCCATGAATTTCCTGTCAAGGTTTATGAGTTGAGAAGGAGAGGTTGAGGTAATTGGGAATTGGTTGTCTTTTAATTCTTGAAATTATCTACGATAAAAATGATCATTCTGACTTTAAGGGGTTGCTATTCATAATAACTTCTCACTGATTTTGTAAGCCTTGATTAATCCATGGTTTGCCTGCAGTATCTTTGGTGCCAATCATCTTAAATTAATGACAAATTAGAGAGGTGACTCTTTTGTTTACACTGCATTTAACATTATTGGCTTAGAGCCCAAAGTTTCACGTAGCCTTGGTTTGCTAGGCAATTTAAGCATTCTATAATGCAGCAATATTGACTAGGTGACAGGTCTAGGTCTTTGTCAATACAAGTTTTAGAATAATAGACATTAATCTTGCTTGAAACAGGTATTCAGAACCAATGCATGAAGTATAAAACCCTAAAATATCATACACCAATTTAGAAAATGCAGAGAATATTTGTTTTTATACTCACACTCTATCAGTTTAAAGATTTGCAGAATGGTGGATGCATGAAAAGTCTTGTTATTTGTCATAATTTAAGAAGACCGGTACCTAAGATATTCTGGACTGACCATGGATTAATCATGACATTCACAATGAGTGAAGTGATTCTGAACAACCCTTTGTAAGTCAGAACCATCTTTTTTATCCTCAAGAACTAAAGGAAATTCGCATGGAAAGATGTGTCACTACACTCATCTCTATATCTGAACTGTTAATGTGAAATAGAACTTCATAAAAAAATAATATAGAATAGAATATATCTAGTTTCTTTTATCTTGGTTCACTATAAGAAATCCAAACTATGTGTGTGATGGTTTGCATCAAGATAGGTAATTCTTTCTATTCTACATTTTGCAGAAGACAAGTCTTTTGGATATCAAAACAGATTTTGCAACTAATGATGGAAGATGCAATTGATGACTGGATACTGAGGCAGATTCATTTGCTTCGAAACGATGAAGTTATTGCTCATGGAATCCGTTGGGTTTACAATGTAAGAAGAGAAATTCTTATCCTTCAATGTTTTGCTTTGTGTTCATACTGCAGTGCCCCCAGCTATGGTTAGATTTCTATACCTACCTGTTGGAATTTATGTCCGAAAACAGCTGCATGTTACTGTTTTTTTGCTGGTTTTCAACTCTAATTAATGTGCCCTTTTTGGATAAACTTCCTCACTGCATGATAAATCTGTCTTTAGTGAAATAATAATTTGTGCTTTTCATTTGATAATATTTGTTCATATTTACTATACCCTAGTACTAGTCAAGAGGCAGCAGCATTGTACCGAGATAATTCTTCATCCTATGCAATTTATGCAAATCATGTTGGATCCCTAATAAAAACTTGTGTTTCTTATACATTATTTAATCCCATGGAAACCAAGCTGTTTCTCAGAGAAAAAGTCGTGTTTCTTATACATTATTTAACCTGTGTTTTTGTGCATCCATAATCCTATTAGCTAATATTCATAGTTCTATCTCATGGTGACCAGGTTCTCTGGCCTAATGGTATATTCTTTCTTAAGTTGAGAAACATGCCAGCTGAAAATGTGGGTCGGACATCTGGTGATGAATCTGTTACTCCAAGCTCCTTCCAGCTTCAGCTTGAGGCGGCACGGAGAGCAAGTGATGTTAAGAAAATGATCCTCGGTGAGACGTTTTCCTTCACAAATCACAATCTTTCATTGCACATATGTTTTTTATGCTGTTTTCAACCCAAGATGTGACTTTCTTTCTTAATGAGAATGTATGAGTAATAGATCTTATTTTTTCTTTCTTTATGCACAACGCTCGTATTATATTTGAAATTCTCTCCCTTTCCTTCAGAAACTTTATTTTCATGAACATCACAACATTCCTTATGCTAGCTAGGACTCTAGTATTCAATTTGAAGATGTGCATACTTTTTCTGGCCGCAATAATTTTATTGTTGAGTGGTTGGGGCTTGTTATTGATTTGGATCCTCCCTCTTCTCTGTGAAAAAAACAGTGGAAGGACCACTACTCCAATCACAACCGTTTATTATTATTATTGTGGTGCTTCATTCAAAATCTATCCCCCCCTTCTCCCCCTTTCATTTGCACTCATTTTATTTGGGTGCTTGTCAGTAACCTTTCATGCAATGGCACCCTAATTTCGGGTCAATTGTTTGTTTAATGTGAGCCTTCTGTTTTAGAGTTGGGCCTAAGCTATGTTTTAGTAACTTTTGAAATCTTCATATCCATAATTAAAAGTCAACAGAGAGGCTGTGAGTCTTCAACAGCAGCGAGTACGACCTTGATTTCTAATTGTACTTTTCCACATGAATCATTGTTTGCGAGAGCTAATAACTGGAGTTAACTCTTGGCAGGTGGAGCTCCAACTACTTTAGTTAGTCTAATTGGGAGTAGCCAGTATCGCAAAAGTGCAAAAGACATCTATTACTTCCTCCAGGTAAAAGCTGAAAATTATGAAAAGCATTAGTTTTGTTCTTTCCTTTGATATTTTTGATTTTTTTTAGTTAATGCTATTCTTCTGTGTCTGCAGTCAACCATTTGTGTTAAACAGCTTGCATATAGTGCGTTGGAACTGTTGGTCATCTCTGTATTCCCGGAGCTCCGAGATTTAGTCCAAGATATACACGACGAGAAGGCACGTAAACAATCAGTTCATGGAAAATAACTTGAGCTTCTGCGGATTCCTCTTGTCAAGGACAGTGTTCGAGAGAGAGGTTTGGGGTGGGGTGGGGTGGGGGGCGCTCCTGGCAATCGAAGTGAAACTTCAGAATTTCTCATGAACCACATCTACCTATCGCTCTGCTAAGTGTCTTCTGGAGTTAGGAAGGAAGAAAGGGGGCAATAGATAAAAAGGAAAGAAGCGGTATATTTCTCCATTTATTTTGTACAGCTTTTGTACATTGAATATGTTGTACATGTTTGTACACCAATAGTATGGGACTAGTGACTTAGAGAAACCGATTTGTAGAGTCGAAAATACTAGTTAATCCATTCTGGCTGCAGAACGGAGAGCCTTTGTGGGTATTAATTATCATGTGATTCTTTTGTTTGTACATGTCGTATTTGATAGTGCTTTAGTTTTCAACATTTTACCGGAGAGCGTTTTCCTTTTTGGGTCATTTGCATTTTTGTTTGTTTGTTTGAAAGTGTTGTTTCGCTGGGGATTGTTTTCGCCAAAAGTTGGTTTTGTTGTCGAATTCATTATATCTTCGGTCGATTACAATAAATTCAAAGAAAACAGCCTTTTTATAAGACTCTTTTACACAACAAAAAGAAAATTACAACTCTTGAGAAAATAAACGCAGGATCGTTGTTTGGATCACTGCTTTCGTGGGATCTTTGCCTGTGCCGGGAGCGCTTTGACTCGTGGACCACCAAATCACAGATTCTGATTGAACCGTGAGGGGTTTATGATTCTGACTTCGTTTATCGAAGTGAGAAATTGAAACGATATCTTATCGATGTAAGATAGTCGTTCTTCTTGAAATCAAGTCAAAGCCTGATTATCAAGGATTGGCCGTAAGATCAGCACCTCTGCTCTCTCTCTGCTCTGGATTGCTCTCAAGTGCTCAAAATGATCAGCGTATTGGATATTCATGTAATGCATCCATGGATCTTCCTAAACAGGTAACTGATCGTCTTCTTCTGTTGTGGAAGGGTCAACCGTCGCCATGTTCGACATTAGGGATTTGAATCTTTCACCAATGCTCACGTCAGAATCCCAATTTGAAGTGTCGGATGAATGTCCACTCCTGTCTATTAATTGGTTAATAATCTGTTGGCCATAATCGTCTTCGGATGAAGCATAACCCAGACCTCTATTACGACTGTAGTAATTATCTGGTTTTCCTTTTGGTACATAGGTAGAACGGGGTGGAACCCTAATACCTTGACCAAAATAAAGGCCTTCACCAAGTGAAAGGTCATAGCCTCGACTCATCATATAATCATTCGCTTGAGAACTATACCGAGAGAAGTGTCGCCCGGGTTTTTCTTCATCCGAATTACTATCTAAGAAATGATCTGGAGTGGGGGATGATTGAGACAGTAAAGACTGTCTCGCGCGGCGAGACAGTCAAGTCTGTCTCGCACGGCGAGACAGTCAAGACTTGTGTTCTTCTGCCTTTTTGGATGATTTCCTCTTGAGCTATATTTGGATATATTTCAGCATTTTTTGACGCCTACAGATACCCCCTCCAAAGTATTCCAGACTCAATCCTTTATAGAGGAGTTCTGGGATACTTTGGATAAGATAGGTCTTACTTATGATCCTTTCAATGCTTGGTTGAGTAGATCGTGTGGAAGGACTTGTACATGGCTTCAATGCTTGATCTCTTCTGCTTTTAATCTATTCAGTTCTTCGTAGAATAGCTAAAATTCTCCCAGCGTCGCGTTTATCGCTTGACCGTTGTCAAGATCTTGAATTGAAGTTGGTATTTGCTCTTGTAGATTCAACTTTTACCACTGAGTTGGTATATCCTTTGAGAGTTTCTCAGGTTATCCTTAAGAATATTCAGATTAATATTCTCCAGGAACTTCCTATTGAGGGTGAGAATACAGTTTAGACTCGTGTACCCGTTGGAGTATTCTGGTCTCTTTTTTGTTGGTAGAGATGAACCCGAAATCGGAGAGGAAGAATTTTATATTCTATCTCCTTGTCTCTTGTTTGTTGGTAGAGATGAACCCGATGATGGAGAGGAAGAATTTTATATTCTATCTCCTGGTACAAAGGAAATTTGAAGTGGGATTTCTATTCAGAGAATCTGAATAAGGTTTGATCAATTGAGATTGGAAGCAATCTTAACTTTTATAGTTTTGATTGCACAAATCGAAGCTGGACCTCTCGTTCATGGAAGGAATCGAAAGGGGATTTTGGTTTTGGTCCTAACTGTAGTAAGGTTTGACCAAGTGGGAGTTCTGAGATGATCCTAACTGTTTAAAGGTTTGATCATTCAATTTGTGGACCTTGAATGTAATAAGGTTTGACCAAGTGGGAGTTCTGAGATGATCCTAACTGTTTAAAGGTTTGATCATTCAATTTGTGGACCTCTCGTTCATGGAACGAATCGAGAGGGGATTTTGGCTTTGGTCCTAACTGTTTAAAGGTTTGACCAAAAGGGAATTTTGAGACGATCCTAACTGTTTAAAGGTTTGATCGTTCAATTTGTGGACCTCTCGTTCATGGAACGAATCGAGAGGGGCTTTTGGCTTTGGTCCTAACTGTTTAAAGGTTTGACCAAGATGGGAATTTGAGACGATCCTAACTGTTTAAAGGTTTGATCGTTCAATTTGTGGACCTCTCGTTCATGGAACGAATCGAGAGGGGATTTTGGCTTTGGTCCTAACTGTTTAAAGGTTTGACCAAGTGGGAGTTCTGAGATGATCCTAACTGTTTAAAGGTTTGATCATTCAATTTGTGGACCTCTCGTTCATGGAACGAATCGAGAGGGGATTTTGGCTTTGGTCCTAACTGTTTAAAGGTTTGACCAAGATGGGAATTTGAGACGATCCTAACTGTTTAAAGGTTTGATCGTTCAATTTGTGGACCTCTCGTTCATGGAACGAATCGAGAGGGGATTTTGGCTTTGGTCCTAACTGTTTAAAGGTTTGACCAAGATGGGAATTTGAGACGATCCTAACTGTTTAAAGGTTTGATCGTTCAATTTGTGGACCTCTCGTTCATGGAACGAATCGAGAGGGGATTTTGGCTTTGGTCCTAACTGTTTAAAGGTTTGACCAAGATGGGAATTTGAGACGATCCTAACTGTTTAAAGGTTTGATCGTTCAATTTGTGGACCTCTCGTTCATGGAACGAATCGAGAGGGGATTTTGGCTTTGGTCCTAACTGTTTAAAGGTTTGACCAAGATGGGAATTTGAGACGATCCTAACTGTTTAAAGGTTTGATCGTTCAATTTGTGGACCTCTCGTTCATGGAACGAATCGAGAGGGGATTTTGGCTTTGGTCCTAACTGTTTAAAGGTTTGACCAAGATGGGAATTTGAGACGATCCTAACTGTTTAAAGGTTTGATCGTTCAATTTGTGGACCTCTCGTTCATGGAACGAATCGAGAGGGGATTTTGGCTTTGGTCCTAACTGTTTAAAGGTTTGACCAAGATGGGAATTTGAGACGATCCTAACTGTTTAAAGGTTTGATCGTTCAATTTGTGGACCTCTCGTTCATGGAACGAATCGAGAGGGGATTTTGGCTTTGGTCCTAACTGTTTAAAGGTTTGACCAAGATGGGAATTTGAGACGATCCTAACTGTTTAAAGGTTTGATCGTTCAATTTGTGGACCTCTCGTTCATGGAACGAATCGAGAGGGGATTTTGGCTTTGGTCCTAACTGTTTAAAGGTTTGACCAAGATGGGAATTTGAGACGATCCTAACTGTTTAAAGGTTTGATCGTTCAATTTGTGGACCTCTCGTTCATGGAACGAATCGAGAGGGGATTTTGGCTTTGGTCCTAACTGTTTAAAGGTTTGACCAAGATGGGAATTTGAGACGATCCTAACTGTTTAAAGGTTTGATCGTTCAATTTGTGGACCTCTCGTTCATGGAACGAATCGAGAGGGGATTTTGGCTTTGGTCCTAACTGTTTAAAGGTTTGACCAAGATGGGAATTTGAGACGATCCTAACTGTTTAAAGGTTTGATCGTTCAATTTGTGGACCTCTCGTTCATGGAACGAATCGAGAGGGGATTTTGGCTTTGGTCCTAACTGTTTAAAGGTTTGACCAAGATGGGAATTTGAGACGATCCTAACTGTTTAAAGGTTTGATCGTTCAATTTGTGGACCTCTCGTTCATGGAACGAATCGAGAGGGGATTTTGGCTTTGGTCCTAACTGTTTAAAGGTTTGACCAAGATGGGAATTTGAGACGATCCTAACTGTTTAAAGGTTTGATCGTTCAATTTGTGGACCTCTCGTTCATGGAACGAATCGAGAGGGGATTTTGGCTTTGGTCCTAACTGTTTAAAGGTTTGACCAAGATGGGAATTTGAGACGATCCTAACTGTTTAAAGGTTTGATCGTTCAATTTGTGGACCTCTCGTTCATGGAACGAATCGAGAGGGGATTTTGGCTTTGGTCCTAACTGTTTAAAGGTTTGACCAAGATGGGAATTTGAGACGATCCTAACTGTTTAAAGGTTTGATCGTTCAATTTGTGGACCTCTCGTTCATGGAACGAATCGAGAGGGGATTTTGGCTTTGGTCCTAACTGTTTAAAGGTTTGACCAAGATGGGAATTTGAGACGATCCTAACTGTTTAAAGGTTTGATCGTTCAATTTGTGGACCTCTCGTTCATGGAACGAATCGAGAGGGGATTTTGGCTTTGGTCCTAACTGTTTAAAGGTTTGACCAAGATGGGAATTTGAGACGATCCTAACTGTTTAAAGGTTTGATCGTTCAATTTGTGGACCTCTCGTTCATGGAACGAATCGAGAGGGGATTTTGGCTTTGGTCCTAACTGTTTAAAGGTTTGACCAAGATGGGAATTTGAGACGATCCTAACTGTTTAAAGGTTTGATCGTTCAATTTGTGGACCTCTCGTTCATGGAACGAATCGAGAGGGGATTTTGGCTTTGGTCCTAACTGTTTAAAGGTTTGACCAAGATGGGAATTTGAGACGATCCTAACTGTTTAAAGGTTTGATCGTTCAATTTGTGGACCTCTCGTTCATGGAACGAATCGAGAGGGGATTTTGGCTTTGGTCCTAACTGTTTAAAGGTTTGACCAAGATGGGAATTTGAGACGATCCTAACTGTTTAAAGGTTTGATCGTTCAATTTGTGGACCTCTCGTTCATGGAACGAATCGAGAGGGGATTTTGGCTTTGGTCCTAACCAAAAAGGGGGAGATTGTTGGCCTTCTTGTTTTGATTATGTTTAACAAACAATTTACTTCTAATGTTGTTTGTCTAATATTTGTGTTTTTGTATTTATTCTAGGTAAACAACATGTTGGATGATGGATGGAATAGCGCTTCAATGATCATATCCAAAGGAGGTTGGCGGAATGTCGGTGAAGCCTTGCTATTCAAAGTTCAAGATCCAAGTTCAAGCTTCATCCGCGAGATTACCAAGTCAAGCTT